ATTGTCGGCTTGTTCTTCTCTAACATCTGCTCTTTTTTATCATTGTTTGATGTTTCGCCCGGTTTCTGGCAGAATAAAAATCAGCCTCAGTTCCGGAGCGAATACAATGTTTACAGCACTTTCCAGAGCCATGAGCCCGAGTTTGACTACTTGAAGAGTTTGGAAATAGAAGAGAAGATCAACAAGATTCGCTGGCTTCCTCAGAAGAATGCTGCCCAGTTCCTGTTGTCAACTAACGGTAAGTCAGTCATATTTGTCATCTGCAATCTGTGGTGACTGTAATTTTAAATTTCCAAAAAGCTGACATTAAAACCCTTTTTAACAGAAAGTAATTATAGCCCCTTTCACACTTCAGTCAAAACAAGAGCTGTGAGAGTAAACAAGAGCTGGAATTTCAGAAAACATAATGTAGTGATTTCCTCTGCAGGAAATCTTTCTGGTAATTTGAATAGTTATAAGTAATGTTTTCCGTTGTCTACCTCAAACACAATATATCCAGGCTCTCCTTACCTTTCTCGGCCCATCCGGTATGTAGGCATTCTTTGCAGGCATTTCATAGAGGACAGATAGCGCTGCGCAAAAAGTTGTACAGCTTGTACTGTGGCTATAGACTAACAACTGTTTTTAATGAATGCCAAAGGGGACTTGTATCGATTTGAATATTGCAAAAAAGGAAGAAAGGATTTTCTAATATTACTACGTTTACTCTACTGTCTGAGACTTGGCTCTGCCCTGCCCTTCACCAATGTGAGTAAAGCAGGTGTGTGAAGACAGACACAGGCAGGCTTGTTTACTTTTTATAGATGAAATTGTGGTCAATCCTAAAACAACATCCGAGATTAACGCAAAAGAAGCGTTTTGGAGCTACAACTGGGTAGAAAACTATGACTTTAAGCATAGAGATGTACTGTCGGGTTTGTCATAAGTACCAAACAATAAGTCTGATAAGTCAGGACCGTTTTTTATTAGATATAGTCGCTTGAAAACTGGCAACATTTTATGTGAAATTTGGGGTCAGTAGTAAATAAATGTAACTGTTGTTGGACCCCTACACTGCATGCTGAGGATGTTCATTTGTCCTTTTCAAAAGAATTAGTGCTGTTGTTATTTACATATATATTTTGTAATCTTTCACAGATAAGACAATCAAGTTGTGGAAAATCAGTGAACGAGACAAGAGACCAGAGGGCTATAATCTCAAAGAGGATGATGGACGCTTCAAAGACCCCAATAATATCACGTCACTGCGGGTCAGTCCTTGAATTGAACACAACCTGAGGGGTATTTCAGAGGGTGGGATTACTCTGCCACACTAGGGTTTCGACACAGAACTGAAAATAATCTCTTCGCATTAATTTGATACTTGATATAGCGAGAGAGCAGTGCTGCCCAGTTTAGTAGGTTTGCTTCAGCAGGTAATGCAGACTGCTCAGATTACCTGCCCACTGGCTATACTTATGGTTGATGAAATGTGTGAACCGACCTGAAGACCCACACAGTTATTCTGGCTGATTTAAATTTTTTTTTTTTAGGTTCAGCTTCGTTGAAACTCCTGGCAGTTTGCTGAGATCAGCAAATTATACATTTAAAAGAATCCTATAGGTGTAAGTTTTCCTGCCTGAACAGGTGTGACAAAACTAACAGAGTTATCTAACAGGACTAGCTAAATGCCAGTCATGCTAACACTGTCCTGAGATGTCTAATCAGCCAAAATAACTGAAAACACCTTATGTGGGTTTAACATAGTTGTGTATGGGGGCTTAGTACGATGTACAAGATGTAAATGGTTGTGCCTCAAGGATCTAAATACCAAGCAAACTGCAAAAGTAATAAACATGGGTGTGTTGCAAGTTACAATGGACTACTGGTTTGGCTAACAGCAAAGATAACTCTAGCTCGCAATGTGTTGTGTTACTTGAGCTAACGTTTGGCCTTCTGTCAGAATCAAGGAATTCAGCCTAAAGCCTCATGTTTCACACTTGCATGTTGGCACAAAATTGAAGGAAAAGCAGTGAGAGTTTAAATGCAGTTTAATGTTTAATTAAAATTCAGAATTGCTTGTGCTCCTGCACCCAACAAGTGCAGCACAGATATCGATTTCACATCTGTTATTATCTTATGGCCTTTTTAGCTTGCTGTATTGATTACAAAGAAGCAAATCTGTTTGTCAGACTCACCATTAGATGAATGGCTGAAGGAGGCAGCTGAAATTCATCCTGTACAGAGGGGGTGTTGATGCTTACTGTTTCACCTAGCTAAGTGAATACATAGAATACTGTGTGACACAGTGGCATCTGCTACAAGCTCTGGTAATTAAAATCAATGAAGAGCTTTGTGACAGATGACAAATGAGCCACGAGGAGCTTTCAGAGCTTCAAAATCTATACCTGTCGTCTGTTGTTACGAGTTTTAAATTATATCCTGTTTGTTCTTATCTCAGGTACCAGTTTTAATACCCATGGACCTCATGGTGGAAGCCAGTCCACGGAGGGTGTTTGCCAACGCTCACACCTACCATATCAACTCTATCTCAGTCAATAGTGACAATGAGACCTACCTGTCTGCAGACGACCTCCGCATCAACCTCTGGCACCTCGAGATCACTGACCGCAGCTTCAGTATCCTTCAATATGTGGGCCTTTGTGTGTGTGCACTTGACTAATCAGTGAAACTAGCCAAACGCTGGAGAAAAAAATAGTGACTTGTTTGTATTTCTTTGAACCAATCACAGTCACACTCTTGGGCAGCGCTATGCCCAGAATGAAGTGACAGTACCCTTGCAAAATAGCATCAGAGGATATCGCCAGGGGAAGAGAATTCCGACTGAAATAGTCGGCCAAACACAGCCTACTTCCTGTGAGCCAGTATAATGCCGGACTGAACAACGTCAGTCTCAGGTGTGAGCCAAATGTTAGTTAACACCAGAATCAGCAGCTTTTTAAAAATTTTATACACTAAATATTTCCATCACCTGACATGAAAAAGTCATATTTTACACTCAAAACCTTCGATGACGAGAAGGGAGAGGATTATGGGAAATTAACAGTGTTGAAGTCAAAATAAATCTTTACGCAAGTGGAAAAAAATCTGAGTGGGTAGTCACTGTCGAGCCATCCTATTAGCTGTCTTTCATGTCTAAGTAATTGAATAGTGGGTGAAAAGACTAAATTGGTCATCTTTGATTTTTATTTTGTCTCCAGACAAGGTACATTATTAGTCTGATAGATCGTCTCTGTTTTCTTTTTTTCGCCTTGCGAGATGCTCTTGTTCAGGAAACATTTGACATACTGCTGCAAAAATGCACTCTAAGCATTATCACACGTACTTGAACCAGGCAAGTCATCCTAATCACGTCCAAGGTTTATTCCTCTTAACCCTGCTCTCTTCAGATATTGTTGACATTAAACCGGCCAACATGGAGGAGCTAACGGAGGTGATCACAGCAGCAGAGTTCCATCCTCATCAGTGTAACACCTTCGTCTACAGCAGCAGCAAAGGAACCATCCGTCTGTGCGACATGAGGGTTTCAGCGCTGTGTGACAAGCACTCCAAATGTGAGCACCTACTTTGGTCACGTTTAATCACCATTCCTCTACCTAGACAGGTGGCTTAACTACTTGATTCATTCAGCTGAGCCCCCTTATTGTCACTGAGCTACACTTTATCTCATACTGTCCCTTTGGAGAATAGATTGAGGGAGACGCACCAAGCAGGGAGGTAGAACTATTTAGAAAAAAAACGACTTGATACCAGTCAAATTACAGTTTTTAGAGGTAAATGTATATGTGGTGGACGTCTGTCAGTTCTAGGTAACATGACACATGTTCCAGTGAAAAAGAGCAGCTAGCAGTAATAATCTTAACCAGTGGTTCTCAAATTTTACTAGATATATATATGTTGATTTATTATGCATTTTTAATTACAGTGATTATCTTTGTTGTATTCAGTGTTTTCAAACATAAAAACAGAAGAAGAAAGCAATATAAAAATCTATTAAAACCTTTAATACCAAATTATGCCACAGCTATTGTAAATGCATGACTAATCACTGTTGATAGTTGTCATAGTAACACAACATGCTTTCTGGCACTGGAGTTTTCCAGGAGCTCAACAGCCAGAACAATAGTGGCGTTAGAGCAAGTGATGGAAAGATTTGACACGGTAAACAATAGTTAAAAGAAATGCTGACAGTTGTCAGTCCGCAACAGTCTGATCCCACCGACAAAACTAAGAGCACACTGAACACTGCTTGACTAGTTTAACAGTCAGTGCTTGTGGAAGAGGGATATGCATTGTTTTCAAAAGTGCGTTCACTGTTTGCATTCCCAACATCATATATGTACGATCTGGCTCTGTCACATGAAAACAAGACAAGACACTGCCTGTTAGTGGAGTCAGACCTTCGGGCTGTGTTCTCTACCCGTGTGTGTGTG